CAGGAGTGCTTAAGAAGACACCTTACCTTAAGGTGTGAAAACTGTCCGGAGTACAGAGGCAGACTGACCACCTACTGGCGCTGAGGCCTTCAGCTGTGCGTAACTAGCTAGCTGACGGTATTTTGTATTGGAGTCGTTTTACACTCAATTAACACGTTTTCGTTTCCCTTCCGTTTTCCGCTCTAGGAGAGGGTGCCCTCTAGCGACAGTATTCAGGCCCTGCCACTCGGGCACACCTTCGAACAGAGACGAGTTTGCGGGAGGCAATGCAAGTTTCATTCGTGTAGAACTGTCGATAAAGTGGGATTTCAACAATTGCAACATTGGGTACTCTTCCCGTGTACCTTAGCATGCTAAATCATAAATCTTACGACGGATCACTGTAAGGGGTTAATATCAATATGCAAAAGTGAACAGACGGAAACACGGACAGGGCAATGACTTAAAATTGTTACAGAATTGAAGCCCTTCCGCTGTCAAGAAAAAAAGAGCTTCAGAAAAATGTGTATACGTGTTGTTTATGTGAAGCTACACTATGGATCCTCTCCCACTGCAAATCACTGGCACCGCCTTTTCCGTCGCCTGGTCCGTGCCACCACAAATGTTCATCTTCAACGTCTCCATAAAAAGGTTAAAGTAAAGATACTACCCAGTCAGCATGGGAGAAGCTACCGGCGGTACAGAGCTGAATGAATGTTGCCCCAGCTGCTCCAGAGCGCGGCGCGCACACGGGGCGGCCAGGGAGAGACGGGACTCGTGGCTTGTTGTGGAGGCTGTGATGTCATAAAGGCAGCTTTTTCGGCAGCCAACCCCTGCCCCGCTTTTCGGTCCGAAGCCCCGCCCTTCCGCTGGGCTCAGACACGAGGAATTTTCCACTCGGGCGCAGCCGGGCTGTCCGGAGCGGCCGGGTCCTGCGCGCCGCACCGCAGACACGCGTGGATTGGCGCGACTCCCCCCCCGCCCGAGCGCGTCATTGGCAAGTACTGGCGCACACAGAGCCACACGCACAAAATCGCGTTATTCATCCCCCCCACCTTTCGTATGGATCTGGTGAAGTAGAACTGTAACGTTGTGCGGTCAATACCACCTTGAAGCGCGCACACGACAGGCACACTCCCACAAACACGGAGCTGTTGATTCACACGCCTGCGCTCGCACAGAAAATGAAATACACGTGCTTCTGTTGCATAAGAGCTTTCTTTTTTTTAAAAAAAAAAAAGGGCGCTCTTGTCCTTATCTTACTCTTCAGGGTCGTGTAAGGACAGCGCCTCCCCGCTCCAGGGAAAGTACGCCGCCGTAAATACTCCGGGCACTAATAACAGCGGAGCTAATTTTAAAACGCGCTTGGCAAAAGAACAGGGGAGAACTGGCCGCTGGAGATCGCTGAGGGGACCGGGAAGGGAGAGCGGCTTGGTCAGGCCGGGGAGTGGAGAAGAGAGCCAGCGTGTCTCTCCCACAGCCTGGCACGGGGCTCGGCGTGGCCGCGGGAAGCGCCCAAGTGGCTAATAAGATAATTACGGGTTTTAACGGAGAGGTTTCAGCACGTCAGTTCGCGGAAGAGTAGGGGGGGGGGTCGGCAATAATAATCAGAGTTTGGTGCTGCGAAAATCCCTGTGACGCCGGAGGCACAACAGTGCAGCATTTGTGAATGAACGTGTCCTTGCAGGTTGTGAATGAACGAGACGAACGGCCCCCAGCCTGCTCTGCGCGCACAGTGACAGGGCGGTGTGTGTGTGTGTTGGGGGCTCCTGTCCTGAGCTCGCGTCAGGGTCGGTCGCATAGCTGGTGTCCCTCCTCCATAACACCTTGAACAATAAAGCACCCCCCCCCCAGATACAGAGACCGCCCCGACCTCCCGGAGGAACGGGGGGACAGTACAGCGAGCAAGATGG